CCCCCCCCTCCGGTCCCTCCCGGTCTTCCTGCCCCAGCCGCCGCGCCAGCTCCCAGCCTTCCTCCTCATCCGACACCTCCCCCTCGCTGTCCTCACAGCCGGGCGGCAGCTTCTTGCCCTTGATGAGGATGCGGCCCTTGAGCTGCTCCGGGGAGGGCAGGTAGGATGCAGCAGGGTTGGGGGGCTCCAGGTACAGCTTCTCCCCCAGCGTCTTGCGCAGGCACTGGGCGGCAAGGCGCTGCTGGGGGGCCGAGCAGCGCACCACCAGGCAGAGGATGAGGGGGTAGGCGGAGGCGGTGAAGGCGTGCTGGTCGATCATTCCCACCACGGCGCGGAAGGGCACGCAGGAGGCGGCCGAGGGGCTGGTGTAGACCACGGGCTCACCCTCGGGGCCATCCCACAGCACCAGCTCGATGCTGCGGCAGCCCAGGCCCAGGGCGCTGATGTAACCGCTGATGTCCGAGCGGCCCCAAAAGTTGTCCTCCAGCAGGCAGGCGCTGTGGGCAGAGCTGATGTAGTAGTGGGACAGGGGCTGCGCCATGTCCTGGCACACCTTGCGGTGCTGCGGGTCGAAGATGGAGCAGTCAGCGGAGAGCAGGTAGCGCGTGAAGCCATCGATGGCCAGGTAGCCCTTCTCCCGGCCCTCCTTGGAGGGCTCATACTTGCCAACGATCTCCAAGCACTTCTCCTCCGTCACCCCCTCCATGCCCTGCTCCACCTCCAGGAACATCAGCAGGTCCTTCAGACCCAGGAACTCCTTGTTGCTGGAGAACTGCACCAGAAGGAAAAAGATCTCGGGGCGGGTGCAGAGCTCGCAGTACACCTCCACGAAGAGGTCGCAAGCCACCTCCGCAGCAGGACGCTCGCTGGCCTTCTGCAGCTCCTTGAACTTCAGCTCAATGGTGGAGGTCTTCATGCCTGGGTTGAGCGCTTTGATCAGCTGCACAGCCCGAGACACGGGGATGCGGCCAGACTTCTCCAGGTCGGCAAGGTCAAAGACGGAGGAGATCCAGGAGGTCCGGAGGCTGGGGTGGCCAGTCCCAGGCGCCTCGGGGGTGTGCTTCCCATAGGACACCAGGTACCGGAGCCCCATCACCCAGGCACTCACCACATCGGCTGAGCTGGCCACCAGATCCAGGGACTCGTAGTTGTCTCCATAGATAATGGAGAAGGCGCACTCATCCGGGAACTGGTCAGAGAGGCCATTGCTGCGCAGGACAGGCGTCTTCTTGCCCACACGCACCTCTTTGACCGACTTGATCTCGATCTTGGCCTTCTCCGAGTCCTTCTTGGAGGGCTCCCAGCGCACAGAGCGCATGTCGGCGTCCAGCACGAAGAAGCGGCTGTACATGCGGGAGTTGGAGCGCACCTTCTTCAGCTCACAGCCCTCCAGCATGAAGGAGATGCAGGCAGCTGTGCTGTTGATCTTGCGGTCATTGGGCATGGTGCTGAAGGACACGGTCTTCTTCTTCTGCGGCGGCCGCTGCCAATCCTGCAGGGTGGGAGAAGGGGCAGAGCCGTCAGGGACTGGGCAGGCAGCGTGCGCCCCACCAGCTCCCGGCACCCTCCTGCCTGCATGGTCTCCCCACCCCAGCCCCAATGCACAGTGCAGCACCCCAGGGTGCCCCAGCACCATGCAAAGCCCAGTCTGCCCCGGTCCAACCCTCTCCCCAGAGGCTGGGAGCCAGCTCCAGCCCTGGCGTCCCCCACGGCTCGCTGCCTGACTTATTTTAACTCCGCTTTCCTTCCTTCCTTCCTGCTCCCAGCCCTGAGCCGGATCCTTCCCCACTGCTCACTCACCCTTGGAGGCACAGCCATGCACAGGCAGCCAGACACGGTCCCCATCTCCCCGGCCTGGGGACACCAGAGGAAAACAGGCGCCCGGCAGGACCAGCCTGTGCCCGCAGCAGCCCCGTCCCTGCAGAGGGGACACACGCCGTGGCCCCTCACGCCTTCCCCTGCACCCTGGGCACGGACCCCAGGCACCATGGCAGTGGGGTGCGAGGATGCCTGGGGCACCCCGAGGTGATGCAAGCAGAGCTGCTCCTGGGGACCCCCAGCCAGACCCCCCCACTCTGTCTGCCGGGGCGCG